AGCGGTTGTGTTTCCTCATCGGCCCATCTGGACAGGGGACAGCGCCTTTTTGTTGCGGTAATGCATGACTTCACCCAAGGAGAATGCCTTCTTGGCAGCTGACGCAGCTGTTTGATCATGTTCTGATGACCCAGTTTCCCCCAGTTCTTTTATCTGAGCTCCCTACTGGCCCCCCAGTCTACCCCTCCCTGTTCTCTAGCAGAGTCCTTATTAGTGGGACATTAAGTTGAGCTGGGCCCCCAGGAAAGGGCTCCTTTCAGCTCCTGCACCCCGTGAGACCATTGGTCCACAGACCCTGCCTTGCAGTGTTACACCGGTCCCACCGGCCCAGGTGCCCTTGGTGCTTGCAACACCAGCATAGAAGAGTGTTGAGGTTTTAGTGCCCTCCACTCTCCACCGTCCCCATCCTGTCAGGGTGTCTGTCACTGTGTGTAGGATCAGAAACAAATACGCATTTCTCAGAGGGGAGGGGCGATCCACAGACGATTCCCATCTTAGTTTTTTCCTCAAAACTAAAAAAGAGAGCATGTCTTTGGAAATGGTATATGGTGTGTGTGTGTGTGTGTGTGTGTGTGTGTGTGTGTGTGTGTGTCCTTTTTGTTAGAAGGACATGATTTGGTCCACTCACACCCCCCCCCCCAGTTTGGGAAAAAAAGAGCTAGCAATAGAAACAATGTACGGAAGGGTCTGATTCAATATGTCATTCATTCTTCAGTTTGTCTTCTTGTTCCTCGGGTGCCACCAGGGCTTCTGGGCATAGTAATTTCTCTTGAGTGTGAAGGTAGCATTTCCTCCTCCTCGGCCCAGTATTGACTCCTGGAAGCTTTTACCAGGGGTCAGGGGACACCGATGATGGTCTGAAATGTTCTGAGGACTCCCATCAGCCAGAGCCAACCTCTGTCCTTCAGTTTACCTTTAGTGAAAAGTTGGTCTCCAGAGTGTGTGTGTGTGTGTGTGTGTGTGTGTGAGTCGAGTGGCTGTGTGTCTCTCAGATGACTAGGCCTAGGGTTGGGATATTTAGAAGAGCCACTGGTCAGTGAAATATGGAAGGCCGTAAGATAGGTGTTACCTCTTCCTTGAGCCTTTGTTCATGCCTGGCTCAGGGATCCTGGGGGACACCTCAGGGTGTCACTTGCTGGAGCCATGTGTCCATTCATAGACAGTAGGATTGTGCAGGAAGGAACTCTAAGATCTGCACCCTATAGTACAGAGGGCCTGTGTGGGACCCAGAACAGAGATGTAATTTCCCCAAAGTCCTGTGGCCACCTAGTGACAGGGCCAGCCTGAAATTCCACATGGCAAATTCTTTGCTTGATGCATAATAGTGAATGAATGCATGCATTATGGCACCTGTGGTGACTGCTGTCTGGCTTCACTGCTGATGTGAATGGGTGGTCCTCCTCTGAGGCTGTGCAAAAGGGCCTGGGTTTGACACTTTCTGCTTCTTTTACCTGCTGACCATAGGCTTTGCCTATCCATGGAGGGCCATTTGCCACGTGTCCTGAGTGTGTAGGATGCTGGCTGTACTCAGACAGGCCACATAGAGCTTCTTGGAGGAGACAAGGAAATTGGCCACCTGTTGCCTGGCATTTGTTCATCTGGAAGTAGAGTCCTTAGTGCTGCAGCAGAGGGAGGTGGCCAGCTGCAATAGCACTGTGGGTGACTGTCTCTCACACCTCTTCCTGGGAGCCTTGCCCTCCACCAGCATATGCACACCCTCCTTATGATAATGCATGTGCAGCACATAGGTACACTCAACACATATACACATGTACCTATATACATACACGCTTATATATATATATATACCATGTGTGCACGTGTATACATATTGTCCCTCTGCCACACACACATCATTTACACACACACATGCATGCAACACCCCACACAAACACACATACTGTAGTCCTGTGGAGCAGCAGGACCAGTTCATCAGTCCCTCATTCAGATTTTAGACTCTATACCCATCTGGAGTTGCCCGAGTCCTGGGGGAGCCATCTGCTCCCACCTGGCCTTGGGTGATCTGGTGTCTCTGATCCAGTGGGGCACCCTCTTCATTCTCTTAGAGCAAAGCTGGGGAAGAGAAGGGTACACGGGGGAGCAGGCACTTGGGCATGGGGTGACCAGGAGCTCTGCAACCCCCTAGGGTTTGTGAGGCACTGATAGCAGGCTGTGTGGTATGTAGTTGGTAACAATATAAGCCTCAGGTGGGCCCTGCGGCTTACCTTGACATCCCACAGCTGCTTCGGAGTATTCTTTGGGTTCTTTTCCTGGGTCTGTCATTTTTTAGCCTTGTGACTTTGTGCATGACCTTGAATCACCCTTGACCTCTATGTATGTATCTGTCAAGCGGGCATAGTCATACGTATCTGGGGCTGCTTCGGGAGGCTTCTGGTTTTTAGGGAAACACTCAGAAATACTGCACATTAAAAGATGGTGTTTTGTTAGCAATACTATAATCCAGCTTTCCTGGACACATGGTTATGTTTTGTTTTTAAAGGCACTTTCCTGGGCCAGGTTTATAGCTCAGTGATAGAGCTCTTACCTACCACATGTAAGACCTGGGGTTCCGTCCCATTGCTGGGATCAAAGTCACTTTCCTATGCTGTTGTTTTCTGCTGGCTCCTTGGGATGTGGGAAGGTATGGGTGGGCTCAGTCCTTAGGCAGGCCAGTTGGGGCCCTTAGCCTTCTCACAGGTGGCCGTGAGTGTGAGCATCCCATTCCTTTGCCTAGTACTGTATATTCCTAGTTCAATATTGTCATTGTCAGGAGCAGCACCTGTTGAGTGCTCCTTATCTGTTACCATTTGTAGAGGCACAGGGACTCAGAGAGGTACAAACCCTTGACCAGAACCTACAGGTGGCAAGTGTCTCTAAGTCCCAGAAGCCACCACACTCAGGAGCACCTGATTGTCCTGGTTCATGCTTGGACTCATCTGTTAAGAGGACCAGGGCCCAAGGAGAAGGTTGTTGTGCAGCCATCAGCAGCACCAGAAAGGACTTCTGGGCCAGAGGGTAGGATGAGTATCTTCCATCCTGTCTGCCAGCCCATTCTTTGAGGCTGGGTTTGGCAAACTGATTTCATCCAAGGAAGATTTGCTTCCTTTTTAGCACCTATAGAAGTGCCCAAATTGTGGAATTATGAAGATAAAACTGAATACATAAAAAAGTTAAGGTTTCAGGAGTAAAGTTTCCTCCCATTAAGAACTTACCATAATCAACTGGATGGGTGAACAAACAAAATATGATCCGTGCAGTTTGTGCATTCAGCCTTCTGAAGGAAGAAAACTATGACACATGTTACAGTTTAGGATGAAGGACAGCATTATGCTGAGTGAATAAGCCAGACCCGAAAGGACAAGTACTGTGGGATTCTGCCCCAGGAGGACAGAGTAGAGCAGTAGATGTTATGAAATGGGATGGATTTTCAGTTGGCAGTGATGAAAAAGTTCTGAAATGGTCGGAAGTAGTGGTACAATGTGAATAGGCATAATGCTGTTCCAATGTGCACTTCAAATGAGCCAGGTTGATTGAGCATATCTGTAACCCCAGCTGCTTGTAAGGCTGAGACAGGAGGTTTGCAAGTGTGAGGCTGGCCTGGACAACCTTGCAAGACCCTGTCTCAAAATTAAGAAAAAAAAAGAAAAAAAATTGTTAATGGAACTGGAGGTAGAGAGGCTCCTAACATGTGCAGAACCCTAGTACTGCCAAAACATAAAAAGTAAAAAAGGTTTAAATGGTAAATTTTGTATTTCATATGTTTTACTACAACACACACACACACACACACACACACACACACACACACACAGCTCAGAGTATTTACAGCCCAGGATTAGAATTTCTACAGAATGGTACCCTTTATTTATTTAGTTTTGGTTTTTTAAGACAGAGTATCGCTCTGTAGTTCAACCTGGCTGTGAACACACTATGTAGTCCACAGTGAGTCTCTTGCCTCAGCCTCCTGAGTGCAGGGATTACAGATATGTTAATACCCAGCAGGGTAGTTTTATTTTAATGCATTTATTTGATAGCAAGCCTCATCATCAGGATGAACGTAAACTTGGATGAACACAAAAAACAGACACATTGCATCTTTTAGTTATTCAGAAATTCAGACTCAATGCTGCTTCCCCCGGCCTGTGGTCTTCAGACTGAGGAAGAGTTGATTGAGAACTCTCTACTTCTTAGTCCTTTCCCCAGTCTAACTACTTTTTAAAGAGCCCTGTTTTCCTAAAGCCTATAATTACGTTTTCCTCCAGGGTACCCAGGCACTTTTTTTTTAATAAAGCAAAGAGCATCCTACAATTATCGTGATGATTTGTTGAGTGCAGTCCAAGTGGAGACAGGAGGCTGACTCAGCTCTGGAGACTGACATGCACGTGTTGGTGCTTTCGATCCTGGAGGTGCTGTCAGCATGCACAGGGTCGATAATTAATATTAAGAGGTGGAGAATTAGCAGATCACATAGGTGTCCGCTCCATGCTGCCCACAGGATGGATGGGGCAGGTTGGTGGAATTTGGCCTCCCTGAGGCTGCCAGGCCCTGCCTCCGCAGATGGCTCTGGGTAAACATCTCTAGCCTGCATACACCACCACTCCATACACCGTCACCTGGTGCTGCTGGAGCCACACACAGCCAAAGCTGGGGTGGGCAGAAGCCAGAGGAGCTGGAGCCTGTCAGCTCTGTCGGCTCTGATTTGCGGGCTGAGCCTGGTTTCGTGGCCCTGCCTGTAATCTCCCCGAGTTCAAAGAGCGCTTAGCTGCTTGTCTTTGTCAAGAGCGCAGTTGGGGATCTTTTATGTGGAAGATGTAGGATTCTCAGGCTGACTTTGATTATTTATTCATTCCCCTTCGTGGGTGTGTGATAGCCCAGGCACTGCAGAGCCCCTTGTCCTGGCTACTCTTGTTCAGAAATTCATCAAGCTTAAAGCCCTTTGAAAATTGCTTTTTGAGGAGGGGAAAGTTTTTGAAGTTTTTCTTCTTTCTCCCCCTCTGCAGTGCCGCAGCATCTCTTGCCACCATTCCATGCACCCTTGCCGATTGACATGCGACACCAGGAGGGAAGGTACCATTATGAGCCTCACTCTGTCCACAGCATGCATGGGTAAGTCCTGCCCCATGCCTGCCCTTACCTGTCACCGGCGAGAGATTCTTTTACTATCTCAAGGGCCTCTGTTGGAAAATACATGGTATGGTCACCTTAGTCTGAGGTGAACTTAAAGCAATAGTAAGGCCTTTTTCTGTAACCCACTTGAGATACAGAGGTGTGTTAATCATTGTTCCTCTCTGTTCCCACTTGGGGCCACCAAGACCCAGGCTGACATTATGACTCAAGACTTGGCCCTGTCATTCTCCTGCCAAAGTCAAGAGACTGACCTAACCATCTCCCCAGCCCAGCCCTTTGTGGTCCTCACACCTAATTGAGTGGTGGCCTCTATGAAGACCAGCAGGCCCTGAGGTCCCTCCTGGCCTCCTGTTACTCTCACACCTTCAGTCACCTCATCTGCTCCTGCCAAGTTGCTTGTTGTGGTACCAGCACATGCCACCTTGTCACCTGTTGCTGTAACATACTCCTGCTGTCTGCTAGTCTCCCAGAATGTCCCTTCTAAGCCTCAACTCAGGAGCAACTCCTCCTGAAGACACTGGATCCCACGCTGAGATTTCCCACCACACCTTGGCCCCACAGTGAGCTTTCAGTACCTGTCTCCCCACAGGTTCTGAGCTCCTCTTGAATTTTGGTGTCTTCAGCAGCTGAGACATAAAAGGTGCACAGTCAATGCTTGGTGACTGGAGAGTTCCCTCCACACACTCCCCTGCAGAACACCAATCCCATTCTGTGATGAATTCAGTAAGCTGAGCACTCACTGTGTTCAGCATTGTGCTCTGAAAGTGTCTCGGCCCTCCTCAGATGATACCTGTCTTGGGAAACCTATGGCTTCCCTAAAATGGAACAAACCTGGGGCTTCTACTTTCTTTTTTAAAATACTTTTTACTCTTTAAATGTTTTACTTTGAGACACATTTAGACATACCAAAGCAGTTGCAAAAATCTTGTATACCTTTACTCACCTCTTAAAATACTAGCATCTGACATAATCAAAGACTGGTACAGTGCTGTGAACTGACCCCCACCCTCAATTTAAGTGTGGTCAGTTGTTTCCTTGTTACGATCTCTTCTCCCCAGCCGAGGTTCCCACACTGCATTTCACTGTTAAACAGCATTAGTCATCTTTAATCTAGAGCAGGTTCTCAATGGACCTGGGTATTTTGAAAAACTCTGTTCAGTTGCTGCATGAAAAGCTGCCACATGCAACACCTCTTGGTTTGAATTTGCCTGCTGTTGCTTCCTAATTACATTTTGATTATGCATTAGAGGAAATAATACTGTAAACGTGATGCTGTTAGCTTTCTAGTGCCTTTGTCAAAAGGCACTGCAAATAGTGCTCACTTGTTTGAGGTGGTGTCTGCTGGGATTCTCCCTGTAAAGTTGTTCCCTTTGTAATTAGTCAGTGCTTGGCTGGGCAGTGTTTTGAGAATATGTAAATATCTTTTTTCTCATCATAATTTTACCTATTATCTTAAACATCCATTGATGATTCTTGCCAGAAACCGTAATAATTAACGCTTGTCAAATGGCAGTTGTCTATTTCCATCATTCTTTCCATGTACATTGACTGGAATTCTATTGAAAGGAAAAACTGTCCCTTCTCCCATGGGCATTTTTATTTAGTTCAGTATTTATTTGATGTGTGGAAATTCATGTTATCCCTATCAGTATTTACCCTGTTATTCAAATCATCCAGAATTGGCCATTGAGAGTCTCTTCAAATGGGCATAGAAGACCATTTGATGTGTTGGGACCTTTCTCTTTCATTCTGAAGCATGTACTTGGTTCTTTCATAAAGAGGTTCTGCTGCAGCAGCTGAGTCCACCTGGGGGTGATGGTGCCGTTTCCTGCCTCTGCTTCCCTCCAGGGATCCTGGAGGTAGCTGAGACTATAGCTCTGGCACCCTAAAGAAGAAGGGGGCCTATGTTTGGAACTAGTTGTGCCTCGTGAAAGTTGCTCAGTTGATGACATCCATGAATTCCCAGTGCATTGAGAGTGTACAGTTCCTACTTGAACAGGGTTAGGGGCTAGTGCTGCTGATTTCTCCTTGAGAAAAGTGGTGGCTCGTTCTGTGGAGCAGACCCTGGGCACAACAAGCCTGCCACAAAATGGTCCCTGCACAGGCAGCAAACAAGCACCACATGGAAATGACCTTGGTCCTCATTGGCCTGCCTGGTGCTTTCTCTAGACTGGCTCCCTAACAAAGTATCATCTGATTGATGATGTAAAACAATAGAAAGGTATTATTCTAACGGAGTTCTGGTGCCAGGAATCAAGACTAAATCTTAGAAGCCAAAATTGATGTGTCGGTAGGGCTGGTTCCTTCTAGAGGCTGCAGGGAAAAATCCATTTGTTTGACTTTTACAGCTTCTAGATGCCTTCTGCGTGCCTCGGCTTGCATTCCCAGCCTCACATCACACTGCCTTTACTCTCTGCTTCTGTCTTCACATCACCATCTTCCTTTCTGAAGTAGTTTTTCCTCTCTGCCCTTTTCTATTCGGAACACCTGCAATTGCTTGTAGTGCCCATCCAGCCCTCTAGGATCATCTCTCCGTTTTCAGATTCTGAAAATAATGACCTGTGCCTTTGCCATGAAAATAACATCCAGAGGTTCCAGGGATTAAGAAGAGAGCTGCTTTGGGAGCCATGTTCGACTCCTTTGGGTTGTCAAGTTCCCTCGAGGAGTCTGGCTTCTCCCATAGACTTAGGCCAGCTGATAATCGACTCAGGTCCACACTGGAGCCTGGTGTCCCATCAGTTAACCCTCCTGACTATTCTGGGAAATGGAGTGTGGGCTTAGGCTTGCAGCTGTAGACATGGATGGTCTGAGTGGCACAGTGGCTTCTGTAGGTTGCTTCTGCCAGTGGACGTGCTGGTCTCTGTGAAGGCTGAGGAGGCCTAGCTTTTGGGCACAGCTCTTCTCCCCAGCCAAGAAAGGGTTCGTCTGCTCACTCCCCACTGAAAGGTAACAGCATGGAGTTGTAGAGTAGTTCAGTAGACTGTACCAGCTCTACACTGTCCCCGGGACACTCAGTTCCCACCCAGGAGATATGTGGCAAGGGCTTCTGGGCTAGCCTTGGGCTCTGGAAATCCTGGCTTCTTTCCCATCTATACACAGTGGGAACCAGGACAAAACCCCTGAGAGAAATGGCCCTGTGGCGTGGCTTCTGTGATTAATGTGGTTGGAACCTGCTGTAGCACTCCGATCCATCAAGCCCTTGATGTAGCCCACTCTCCTTGCTGGCACCAAATGTGTCTCATTACACAAACATTGCACAGCAAATGAGATGCAGTGTCAGCAGGGTCTGAGCCAGTGCCTGCTGCTTGAGTCACAGGGCCATGTTGCACCACTTGCTCATGGGTGCACCTGACAGCTCCAGGATAAAGCAGTGGGTGAGCACACTCCAGGGCTGACATCCACTGACGTCCCGCATTTCCTGTGGTACCATGGTCAAGGTACAGCTGCCAAAGAGCTCTGGTTGTTTCAGGTCTTCCTGCTCTTGCACTTGAACCCAGTGCTGGATCCACAGCTACGGGAGAGCTGATGGATGATCTTTTATCAGTAAAGGACTGTCTATTGAGATATTCCAGGTACCACAGACTACAGTTTTGTAGGAGTGAAATAGGACAGTGTGGGTAGTACATTCGGAATCACTTAGGAAGCATTTCATAGATGTTAGCTGTTGCTATTTGTTGCTATGTGTGAGAAAGTCAGTTCACTGCAGTCTAGAGAACAGGTTTCGCACATCCTCAGAAAAGGAAGCTGTCCGAGTTGGACTTCCGGTGTCCCATTGTGGCACTAGAAGATGGGAAATAGAACTGAAAAAATAACTGTTGCAGTAGGAGGAGAGTCTTCTTCGCCCCAGTGGAGGAATTTGAATTTCTTCCTCTGCCACCTATGGGTGGAAGGAATGCTTGATTTATTTTCAAGGTTATTGCAAGATGGGCAGCAAGCACAGCGAAGAGACTTGCCAGTATACTCTAGTGGCTCTGGCAGAAGTGGCACAGTGGCAGGCTGACTGCTCGCAGGGAGAGGCAGAGTGTGGCATTCAGTGTGGGACACATGTGCACTATCCCAGTATAGAGCACCCTGCTCCTCTGCAGAGAGATGTTTCCCATGACAGGACTCACATAGCTTCCTGATCCCCATGGGACTCCAGTAAAGGAACGGGAGCTGTCTGCGGGCCGTGCTACAGCAACTTTGGTGTGTGATGGGCTAAAAAGTGAGTCAGGGGTCTCGGGTGAATTCCATGGGAACACGTTCCTGAGTCCTCCAAGAGTCTGTACCAAGAGAAGAAAAGGGCAGCTGTGAGTGTGGTGGAGCACCCCTACGGCCCCTCCCTGTGGTGCTAATGGGAGAGAGGAGCATGTCAGGCCACTCCTGGCCCTGTCTCTTGGAAATGGTCTCGAAAGGTATCGTGAGGAACGTGGTGGAGCATGACGTGGCAGGTCCCCAGTGGGAGCCCTCCATTTCATTGGCATGAGGGTAATGTAGGCTAGGATTACCTAACAGGTAGGGAGAGGTCATGCTCTGGATCAGGAATCTGGACGTACTTTCAACCCTCAAGGTTCCTTGCTGGGCACACCCCTTCCCTGCCAGCCTTGGGACTTCCAGAAAACCAATTCCAATTAGCCTCTGTTTATAGAAACTGTCCCACACAGCAGCTTGCAGATTTGACTGTGGATCTGAACTGCCTGACCAAGCCTTAAGGATGCCATTCATAGACCCTGGCCCACGATGGTTCAGTTCTTTCAACCCAGGCTAGGGCTGAGGTTTATTTACAAGTAACCACAGGCCAGAAGTTGGGAGTCACTGCAGGCCGCACTGCGTATTTAAGACTAAGGAAAAGCCCAGCTCTGTGTGCTGACTTCTGGAGTGGAGGGCTCATGTGTCATGTCTGTCACTGATACCGATTTTGTCTTAGAAATGTGAGTGTTGAAAATCCCTGGTGACTTTGCTAACCCATTCACAGATGAGGCCCTCCACATTGGCCTAAA